ATTTTTTGAAAAAATGCAATACTGAAAGAAACAAAATCTCATAAACTATTTGGTCAGGTATGGATCATTATGTCTAGCATTCCCTGGGTTGTCTAACTTGCACCTGTCTGGACACCCTTTACGTAGTCGTGCCACTTGTCATGTGACTCACTGGTCAAATGTCCACCCGTTAAAGCTGATAGTAAAACTTTCATATAAAAATAGCATGCTAGAATTATTTGAAAACAAAAAATAAACACATAACATGCAACTGATCATAAATAACATACATGTAAAATATACTATATGATGTATATATGTAAACTGAAACATCATGCATATGTACAAATCATATAATGTTCAAAATAAATTTGATAACTCAAAACCTGCATATTTCATGCCATAATATCCAATTAATTAATGGCTTAATTTCTCTAAAAGTCAACAATAGTTGATATGGTCAAACTCGACCTGACCTTAAGTCAGCCACAAAACCAGGTCTCTTAATGCCTAAAATATCTCAATTCGATCTTATCGTTAAAATCCTTGTGGGTCAAACGAGGTAAAAGTCAACCCTCGGTCAACTCGGTCAAGCTCGACCAACTTTAGTCAAACCCTCAAGTCTAAAACTCGAAGACGCCTTAAAACGTCAAGTTAATCATTGTATAAACTCACAAATCCATCTCTCTAAATTAAAGCGTTCCAATAAATAGTTAATTCAAATTACGATTCATTAATCCCATTAATAAATCATCAAAATAATTTAATTATTTATTATACACACCCTTCTTAAAAATAATTAATTAAAATGATCTAAAAATTCTAATTATTAACATGTTAATTAAATATAATTTAAATTAATATATTAACTAAATTAGAAACCAAATTAATTAATTAAATTTCTAATTATAAATTAATCTTTGAATAAAATTAAATAAATTCTACTTAATTAAAATCCAATAAAAAGTCCAACTAAATATTTAAACTAGACTTTTTTAATTAGTTTGGACTAAAAACTCAATAAAATGTAGTCCAATTAAATACCTAATAAGGAATCTAAGCTTTTATTTAATAAAATCTGATGGCCAATAATTAAAAAAAAACCCAACAATGGTTGGCTCAAGATACATCAGATCTGGATCTAAGCCCCTAAAATCAGCCATTGTTTTCAAAATCTGATTCTCAAATAGATTTATATTTTTAGCAAAACATGTCCCTTAAATCTGAGGAAATGGACATCTGACACACCCCTGAAATATCAGATAATAACATTTGGCACCATGGCTTCAATACTTTGGCCAATATTATAGTTTTTACCCTCGATCAGGCATTCTATTTTATTTTAGTTCGATTGAACATAAACTCCTTTTTTCACTTCTCACTTTATTAAATGACATGATTGGGCCCCTTTTCACGTTTTTCTTCACATTCTTGGTCTAATAAAAATAAAAACCAATTTTATTTCTTTTCCTTTTTCCTATTTATTTATTTCCCCATCTTGGGGTGTTACAAGTACGACAAAATATTTTGTGCTAGGTGTAGAAGTTTATCATTAAAACACGAAAAGTGGCTTGGCCATATCAGCTGGATCACAACATAATTCATACACTACAGAGTCAAGTTACTTGAGCGTGCATGCACATTATGGGTATCTCTTTTTTAAATGATAGCTATGTATGATCTATTCATTGACTCATATGCATTATCATAATTCATTTGAGATTTCTTTCATCTCTGGAATCAATATTAACTTCGGAACGTTCTTTAGTAATGATTCATAGACATATTTATAATCAGAGACAATCTCATGAGAGGTTTATGTATTGATGATAAATGGTTGTCTTACTCTACTCTTCCTTTTGATGAGTATCTATCGAACTAAGTAGCTTCTCTCATTTCCTTCTGGGCACTACGAACTCAATCACACGTCCACTATGTATGATTGCAACGCACGTTCTAGCCGGTATATTTGCAGTTGGTACATATGATATTGTCACTTCTGGAATAACATTAAACATATCAGGTATCGAATCTATTCGTTTGAATTTAACTTTACATTGTGATGTTTGGGGATCAAAATGAGATAAAGTGAGAACATTCCATGAAAATTCCTATAATTCCCTTGGAAAATACTTTTTTCTATCTCCCCCAATCAATGAGAAGACTCTCATCAAAGTGACAATCCACAAATGTTGTGTATAAAGATTACCCGCTAAAGGTTCTAAATAGTGGATAATTGTTGGGATTCATATCCAACATATACCAAATCGTCTTTAAGGACCCATTTTGGTGTGCTATGGAGGCGTAATTGACACATATACTACAGAACCGAACATGCAAATAAATGTAACATATTAAGGTTATATCCAGTTACCAACTGGTACACATGAGATTGGTTGTCTACTAGTGGGTCTAAGAAAGAATAAGGTGGCGTTTTTTTAAGAGGTACTGAAGTCTTATTTCACTTTTGATTTTTAAGAGGTGGTGTTAAAGTCTGAAATCTGAATCAGTCAGACTGTTTGTTTTTGTAAACTAACAAACGTCTGAAGTCTGAAATATGAATCAATTGTTTGCTTTTGTAACCAACAAACATATGAATATGAATAATTTCAGATTTCACTTCGGTTTATGTTCCCAAGATTCCTATAATTCTTCCTTCTCCTTCATATCAAACCGTCCATCCTCAATCTCCACCCTCATCCCACCACCATCAACCACTGTCCACCACCACTCCTCTAAAATCCAACGCCCAAATCCACCTCTAAAATCAAAGCATATCTCCATCGTGATGAAAACTACAGTGACGAAAACTACACGGATGAAAATACCTTGATTCACGAGGATAAAGGTGAACAACTACTGGTTTGCACATGAACGAAAACACACAGTGGTGAAAACCCACATGGAAGAAAACCCTCTTGATTTGGATCTGATTTGGGTCGATTTGAAGCCACCAGAGGCGATGGAGGGTGAAGTCGATCGATTGAGAGGGTGAAGTCGATCGAATGATAAAGTAGAAATTGGTTCTCTAGATAGTCTTCAGGATTAAGAGGAAAATAAGTGGTTATGTTATCACTTAATTTTTAAGAGGAAAATAAGGGATAAGTGGCTCTGAAATAAAAAGAAAAAAAACTGTCTGAATTGCCTTATGTCTGACCGAATCAGACATAAGTGGTAAAATAAGAGCTTTTTAAAAAAAAAACAAACACCACCTAAGTAAAGTTGCATGTAATATTGCATAACTCAGGTAGATGTAAGTAAATTGGTGCGTAAACAATGCCCTAGCTTCCATCTATATCCTTTAATTGACAACTTCTGCAAAACCGTTTTTGTGTATACACAAGGAGGTATAAGATGTTCTAGATCAATTTTAATACATATGCAATAATTATCAAATTGTTATGATGTAAATTCTCCAGCATTACCAAGTCATATGGATTTAATGAAAATCAGGGTGGTGAGCCCTTAATATATAAAAATGTGCTACAAATGTTGTGAATATAACGTTTTGTATGGACAATAATGCAACATGCATTCGTTGTATCGTAGCATCAACCAGAACCATAAAGTACTTGGATGGTCCACATTCTAGATGTACATGTTTACAATTATCACCTTGTATTCGTTGTAAGAATGGAATATTTTTTGTATTTTGTTCTTAGCTTTAGAGTGGTCTCATTCCTATCTAGGCTAAGGAGTAGGGTTTGGCGAAAGTTTTAGGTATTCAAGAGAGCATATTATTATGGTGGTGCTGGTTCTTGTGCAGCAAAATCAATACTTTCAATTTGGATAATTGTCTATTTTACCTTACACTCGAAAGAGGATGTATTCATGTGTATTTTTTAGTAAACAGATATTATGTCATGACTATAGTGTCCAACGCGGTCATACCGAAACATATATGTCTCGTCGTCCCCAAGTTCTTTATTGGTGACAAAATATGATTCAATGACTCAGATAATCCACTAGTTTAACACATTAGCTTCTCTAATATATGTTTCTTTTCATATTTATTAGAGCTTATGTAGATATATTTATTTCCATTCTCGTAATATTATTTCCAAGTGAAATAAATATATTAAAAGGATTTTATAGTGCTTTAGTGACTATTAATCTTGTGTCACTCGAAAACAAGGAGGTGACCTTTCATATGAATTTGGTTGGAGGAACTATAAACTATTAATTCAGTTAAATATTAGTCTAATCTCTTAAGATTGTTTGGGAGATCCCAAAAAGACATTCAAGTTCTCCTCGACACATTCCTACACAGATATCAATCACATATGTTGTTATGTTGGTGAAATAACATTGTATTATCAAAATAGATCAATCATATATGTTGTTTCATTGTTGAAACAACACTATATCATCCAAAATATATCAACAAACATCAACCCATATGTCGTTTCATTTATATATTTTGTGTTTATTTATATATATATATATATATATATATATATATATATATAGGGTTGAGTTCCGGTGAAAATAAGTTATGGTGGGAAGGGTACAAAGGGATCTCCACCCTTGAATAAATTCTAATTGAAGATCAACACTATTAAGATGCATCGAAACAATTCTCGTATCAAGCACGATTCATGGGATGAGGCGAGATTAAAAGTGATCAAAAATCTTGATCCCTTCTTACGTTTCTCACATTAAGGGGCCGTTTAACAAACACTTACCCGATAAGTGTTTATCGGTAAAAAACACTATTATTTACTTACCGAGTAAAATTTTAGTCCACCAAAACTGCATCGTATGTAACAATTTACCCGGTAAGCGCTTACTTTGACAAGTGTCGCCCTCACTTACCGGGTAAGACGTTTGGTCCTTGTTTCGCTCTTACCGGGTAAAATTCGTAGTCCTTACCATATTTATCCGGTGAAATAACTTGACTTTGGGAAACGGTCTCTAACTCTTATTCTTACATAATCCAATCATTTATATATATAATAGTGTTATTATCAACTTATCAGCTAGTTTGCCAAAAACGTTTCAAGCTGCAGATGATCATGTTCTAAGCTTTAAAAAATAAAATGTTCCATTGGATGGTAATAATCGTACCGGAACCAGAATCTTAACGAATCCGAGTTCAAACTTACGGAATCATACTCTGTACGGGATCCGTTTTTAAACTTACAACAAGACTAAAATAAACAATCTTTAAAGCAAAGCAAAACCATGAAAATTTGCAACTAAAATTGAATCACAAATCCACAATTCCACTGCTGCTGCTGCTTCTGCTTCTACGTCTGCTTGATAAGGTACCCAACCACAAAACTTATTATACCCACCAACACCAGATATAATATCGGAAAACCACTCGAACGGCTTTTCACTGCTTCTTTTCTCAGCAATTCCTATTCAATTGAAACGAACAAAACAAAGTTTATGCAGCAAACATATGAAAATGATGGCAAAAACGTTCATTTCTTCCTATTTGCACCCATTTTGACCGGTAACTAATAGATCTTGTAACTCTTGATCACATGAATAAATGCCACATCAAATTCAATTGATGCCACGTATGTTGAAACTCGTTTATCTAGTAGAATGGGTATGAAATATGAAGAATTTAATCGTTACACTAAATAGTAGAAAGTAAGGCAAACTTTGTTACATTTTGTTCATCTTGGTTTTCACTATCATTTTGAATCTTCTTATTCAAGTATGCTTAAAAAAACATGCAAACTAGTCATAATATACAAAGACATACCAGTTCGTGTTGGAGCTTCTGGTTTTGTTTATCAGCAGCTACTTTCTCATCAGTCAACTTCGATATCAAAGACCACGACTGCAACATTAAAATAAGTATATTATGAATAAACAAGCCTAGTATATCCCATCAGGAGGTGGGGTGGGTTACGGGTGGTTTTTATTTTTGAGGGGGGGGGGGATACGCAAACCTAGCTTCTACCCTACATGCATTCATATTAATCATGCTTGTTGAGGTGCTCTATAGATAAGATGCTTCTGTAAAAAATCGAAACTAACACTAGGAATCTCCTTTGTCTCTGTGTTTTCACATCGAGATTTATTTGCAGATGAAGAGATGTCAAAACCAAAATACCCAACAAGCATTAGCTCTCCCCGAAAAGGAGGTGATCCAGCCGCACCTTCCAGTACGGCTACCTTGTTACGACTTCACTCCAATCACCCGCCCCAACGTCTATACAAAGGATTGCGTATGGGCAATATTGAAAAGAATAACTACCTTGTCCCCATGAAAGTTGCACAATTTCCTTTCTAAATAGACGATGACAACGGAATTTGTTTAGTTGAAAATTTCGAAGTTCAGGTTACCAACTTCTCCATTATCATCACGACATAAATTGATTGCACTGTTTTTGTTTTGTATCATAGGGTACTTTAGGTATATGGCATGCAGTTGAATTAAATTATGTGCCAAATCAAAGATTCCAGTACCACGGAATGGAGGGGGTACCATGTGCAAGTTCTATTTAAGAATTCACACCGCAGATAAATAGATGGCTACTTAGCTAGTCAATGGTGCTCTGACTGCAATCTTGAAACATAAACTTAACCAAGTATAGCGCAACAATCATGACAATTTGAGCCAAGTATATATTTTGTGTATTCATCATACGTTTTAATGATTCCTCATGATAATATAAGCAGTTATAAATATTATACAATTGATATAAATCTAAAAGCAACAGGATACCATAATATAAATTCTACCTATTGCAAGCTACTATTATTGTTGTGATGTTGTCCAAGAAAAGATCCATCTATGGAACTATTGTGTTTTTTGGCTTACTCTTCTTATCATTTACGGGATCTGTTTCAACCTATGTAAAAAGAGGATAAAATGTGTGATGGTCGAGGGGCAAGGAGAGGTAGGTCAAAGAGGACGTGGGATGAGCAGTTGAGGTTGGACATGGCAGCTTCAGGTATTCTCAAGGATAGCAGAGTTGGGGTGGGGATTTGTAGCTACCATGACCGGGAGGAAGTGGTGAGATAGAGGGTGGGAGATAACTAGTTTGTCAATCACTTTTTTTAGCAGCCTTTATCTCTTATTTCTCAAGTCGGAGGTCTTCACAGAAACAGTCGTTCTACTCTTAACAGGTTTGGTTTGTTTCAACCTGTGGCATGGACAATGGCGTGGATAACGCACCTTCAAAATTCTACGTCGAGGATACAAGACACATTGACGTACGTGCATATGAGTGTGTATATATACATATCCAAAGTCAAACAAATAAAATACAGAAATTATGTCATGACTTGAAAACATAAACATATAGGACAAATACATGCTAAAACCGGAAGTCTTTATTTTGCTTCTACATAGTGTACCCATATTAATGTAAGCTATCACAAAGAAGAAAAAGAGAACATGTTTCTCTTTTGTAGTCAAAAAAATGCAAGTTTTTTTGTTTTATTTTAGCCATTGTATTCAATTTTGCAAATCGTGAGTTTTCATTTTCTTATGAAAAGAAAGAGCAAGATTGACATTATGTTCTCGTATCCCTGGAATTCGCAGGGTTAAGATTAAGGCCTCATGTGGCATTCCTACATTTCAATGGTTGCTTGAAGCCTATGGGTGCATTTGGTATGCGGGACAAGACAAAACAAAGAGTTGTCCCACGTTTGGCGCGATATTAGACATGAATAAAACAGGACTAAACCAAAATAGGTGGAAAAAGATCAGGGAGATGGGACAAGATTGGTAAATTACTAAACTACCCATGTCAAATTAAAACCCCAAAACCTTCTACAATTCTTTCACCTATCAACCTCGCCCTTGCCCATCCAGTTCCATTCGAATACCAAATGCACCCCARATGAACTCCATAGCATAAGGTCAAGAACGCCTTCTAGTTGGTCATCTTCATTTGTGTGTAGGCAATTTGCTTAGACTTGTTCAAGAAGCTCACTTAACATATATTAAGTACCGAATCTATGGCAACCACCAATTTCACCATCAAACCAGCATCTTTCTTCCTTCCCAAGAAAGAAAACGTGATCATACAAAGAGAGAATGTGCATCAACTCACATGGTGAGTTAGGTGGTGGTAAAGACTTCTCCTTCGAAGATAACGATTCGGTAATGGGTGTTAAATATACAAATGACGAAATAATCACATTATAGAATCAAAAAGTTCATAACTTTATTGAATAGACATTTCATAATAATCCAAATAGGTCTCTTTAAAGAAAAATGAATAATATTCACCTCAGAAGAGAGCTTCTCCTTGGGCTCCACGGATTTTGTTGCCTGGCATTCATAACAGTCAAATAAATGCCTCAAGCTTAAAGAAATGCAAAGGTGATTTTAGTATATTAATATACAGGGATGGGGTCAAACGAGAACGTGAGAACACCATGAAATGCCAAGAAGAAGTATAACAATATGGATGTCAAATTAAAGAGAATAAAATGCTCATTGTTTGGTATAATGTGTTTGGCTCCAATTTTGGTTGTATTTCACCGACCTTCGATTAAAATTAGGGGGGAATTTTTTTGGTTATAAAGAAAAGGTGGCTGTAACCACCTTTTTAATCACATCCTTGTGATCATCTCATCTTACAATTGGGGTCTATTCTCGTGTTCTCATATTTTGACCTTGTTCTCGTTTGAACCTCCTATATATATACACATATATATAAAAGAAAAAGGGAGGCCACAGCAAATGCTTACGACATCAGGCCACGAAGAATTGTGACTACCATCCTCAGCCCTCGGAGAAGAACCTTCTTCAGATTCCTCTGGGACAGGTGAGGGAGGATTAGCAGGAATGTATACAACCCTCAATTTGAACTCCTCAACAACCTTTTTCTCCTCCTTGTTGAACTACAGAAGACAAAGATAAACTAGCCAGGCATCGTTTTGCTGAAAAATAAACAGAATTTAGCAAAAAGAAGACTCACCATGTCAGCAGTTATGTCCTTGTTAGTTGCCCCATTAGGTGCAATAACAGCCTGCAGAAGAAACTTGTCTTTGGACTGCATGTCAGATGGTATCTCTTTCTGTGCTTGCATTGTAACTAGAAAAGTAATTGTTTCAGATTGTGAATTTAACACATTAAACATTTGATCATTTTGAAGTCATGTCTTCTTATCTTAACAAATGTACATGGTAAGATGCCAGAAACATAAGAAAGGTGAGGCCATCTCCAACCAATGAGCTAAAGTGCTTCTTGATGAGTCAAAAATAGTCCATGCACAAGCACAGCTTCGGAAAAGAAAGATGGACCTTATTTTAACTCAAATGAGTAATCTTAACATATGTTTTGTTTTAATCAGTTGAAATTTAAAAAATCAAAATTAAAACTACAAAAACAATTTATCTGTTCCTTTTTGAAGTATAATATTTATATATGAAAAATGATACTCACACTCCCCACCTTGGGTGAGGTTGGACCCCTGACCTCTGTAAAGGTTGGGTTACTGGATACAGCTAGGCCAATGACACTTTGGTCAATGTAGCTAAGTAATATACACAAAAACGAATATAGTTATATAGTTAAATGATAAACTAATAAATAGAGATCAAATATATAAAGTGATATAATCCAACAGTCCTATTCAGCTGAAATGTAGCATTATCTTTAGCACTTTAAGTTGGAGATGATCTAAGGCTATTCACAAACATTTATGTGCCCTTTCAGGAAAGAGAAGCACTTCATAAGAAAAGATTTCGGAACAAGGTTTCACGTCTTGAAGAACATAAATCAAACCAACTGCATATACTATTTCAGCAGGAACTGCAAGAGTTCTTACCTGTGACATTGCAAACTGATCTCGGTAAAACGATTCCAGTGTTTGGGCGAACACAATACTTTTTGGGGTTGGTCGTTTTAACCTTCAACCACATAATAACAGCTTGTCAAACTTTATGCAAGACCAATAAATCAAAAGTGACCAAAGAAACTTAAATAACAATTAGGTACCTTGAAGGCAATATATTGATCAGTCTTGTTGGTCAATTGCAAGGAACATGAGCTCTGCTTCTTCAACTCAACTATCAACACAAAAGTCGATCCATATTTTTTCCCACAAAAAGACGCATGAACATTCAAAAAGCATAAAAAAGCATTTCAATAGAGATGATGTTCATGCAAGCACTGATACTTGACACTTCCTTACCCAGATTTATGATCAACTACGAGTGCCAACCAAAGTCAAAAAAAAATTATTTGAACATACATGGTCATCTAAAATGCAGCAGCCAAAAATTAAAAATACAATATTAAATTATCTAACACACCCTTGGAATCAATAATATTAGTTCTCAAAAGATGCTTCCTAACTCCGTTAACAAGGATTTGGTAAGGTGCTGGTTGTTTAGAAGAGAGAGCACTTCAAATAGAAGTTGTATGCAAAGTGGTAAATGTTTTAGCTTTTTGTGGTTCACTAATTTTACACTCGATACTCCATTGGCTTTCTAGCAAGGAGACACGTATTATTATAGTTTATTTGCTACTATGCATGAATGGGGGTAAGAAATCAATTGCTCATATGCAGAATGGGCTCATATTTCTGAGTCAAGTATGTGCATTTTGGCTTATATCAATGCCAGAGATTAGTTTCTTGATAATACGCCTCCATCCTAGAACAAATGATGTGTGTGTTTGAGTATCATATCACCAATTATATAACATATGACCCCTCAGTGGTAACAAAATAATAGACTCCCATAGACCAAACAAATGCAATCAATCGTTTAGGATTCTTGTCCTAGGGCTTGTACTTGCTGATATTTTGTAATTATCAACAGACAAAGAGGTAAGTCATGACTGAAACTTTGCTAGACAGGGAACATTTGTTTCTATCTTGGGACATCCCAAAAGTGAAGTCTTGCATCTATTAAGGCTAGAAGAGCACTATATACAAGTTGGTGGGCCACTACTTCCAAGAACGGATTCAGTAATAGGTTAGAGGGCGCCTATACCCATGCCCCCGCTCTATCATCCCAAAGCAATGGAAATATTATAGCAGTCTTAAAGGTGAACCCGCTTTAATATTATGTGTGTTCCCATAAGTTAACAAAAAGTGGCTAGTGTCATTACATGTGGCATTGCAATTTGCAGGTTCGAATCCATTTGGCTCTTTTTTAATATTTTGGTAACAGCAACATTAAAGATGTAAAAAGAAGAAGAGGAAACCACTAGGGTGTTACAAAAAAACACTAGTACATCATTTTTAATTAAAAGGTACTTCTAATAATTAATTTTATGTTGATTATTTTGTGGCCCTGCTTGGAAATTTTCCTGGATCCACCTCTGGCTACTTCTTCACCCATGTACCTCTGCACAAGAATTCGACTTTACAACCAAAATACTGAGAACTCACAACCAAAGCTCCGTGAACAAGAACCATATCTTGCTCATTGTGTTACTTACAGTTTTACTCTCATTGGGCAGGGTGATTTTTGAAAAAGGAGACTGGAACATTGAGGTGACAAAACCACAAAGTTATGACAAGTGTATCAAGATTCTCCTGCTTAAATAAGACCAAATCCTAATAAAAAAAAAACCCATGAGTAGCAGGTTGAACCATCTTTACAGATCATGCCAAACAACAATAAAATTCAAAAGGGGTCTTCAAGTTGACTACTTTAATAACAAAAAGAAAAGACCAACAGACGCTCAATCAAAAACCCTAAAAATGAATCAGTAAACAAATATCAGAACACAAATCTATCCAGCTAACATGAAATCCCATCACAATGATCAAACTAAAACCCCAAAAACAACACAGTGCACACTCCAGAACAGAAATTAAGACTTGTAACAAACAAATCGCAACTTCAAAATACAAAATTTACAAAAAAGAACAGTAAAATGAAAATGAAAAGAAAAAACTATGACTTACATGGAAATTTGAGTTCAGAAGGATGAAGGTTGAGAAAATCTCCGGTGCTCATGACTGCAAATGCAACAAATTGCAATCCGAGAAGCCGTTATTTGGATGAATTTTGTGTATCGAAGAAGAACTGACGGGTCGTTTAGGGTTCTTAATTTTAACGTATTAATTCGAAGAATTGATGGACTGGCACAGCTCATTGACGAAATTAACCCTCATACTGCGGGATTCTTATTCGGAGGGTACGAGTAGTTTTCTGCATAACAAGGGGTAAAAATGGAATAATAAAGTCTCTCTGGTTATCATCGCCGTACACCACAGCTAGTCAAGGATGGATGGCTCTTTGGGAGAAAAATGGACTTCCTACTATGGGACCAACTGCCACGTGGCGTTCATATTAATCACTCCTAAGTCCTACCATGTAGCTCACTTAGTAGACAACTACCCATTAATGGTAAAAAGTATGTAAAGGTTAAAATTTAAGGACAAATAAAAAACTTTTTTGTGGCCATAGAGATTTAAGTGCGATGACTCTGGGTTATCTATAAAGCAGATGGTTGTTTCGGGATTAGTCGGCTTGCATAGAGGGTTGAAAATCCATGTTAATAAAAAAAAGATGTATGGTGATTTTATTCAAATACAGTATTATATTCGGCGATTCCAAGCTCTTTACTAGTCTCAGCTCTTGAGCGAGTCAAAAAATATCTATTTCACATTAAGTCTTTTTGGAGACCGCTTCTGTATAGAACCAACTGGATTGCTAGTAATTGATTTTTTGGCCTAAATCGTCATTTAATTATATGCGAAGCATCGTGTGAAAAAAAGAGCTAAGATGAGAAGCATAAAAAATGATCTGGACCATTGATCATCTTTAATCTCACACTCACCCATGAATCACGTTTTATATGAGGATTGATTCAGTGCATCTCATCTTAATTTGCATCCAAGGATGAAGATCTTGTTTTACGTTTTTCACCTTAACTTTCTTTCTCATTGAAAGTCAACCCTTTAATTATATTCACTTGTAGATGACATATTTAGATTATGAAGTCCAAAACTTAAATCATCAATCTTGAATCATGATTTGTTCTATTTTGTTTGTTTTTTAGATTTTATTTAATGGTTTAGAATGATTTTTAAAAAAAAACCGAATGATTGTTTAATTGGTTATCAGATTTGTAGAATTTCTGTTATAGTTAGTAAGGCTCAACGTATGTCTTCTATTTGAATACTGAATTTTATGAAGTTCAAATATGAATTTTAGGAGATTTTAAGAGAGAAAAATAAATGTTTTATATGACTAAAAGGGTACTCGTGTAATGCAGCGAGATATATCTCGATTTTAATGTTTCGTTTTATTCCGTCTCTGTAAATGTTTTAATATGGTTTTTATGTGGTTTTAAGAAATGGATAATGTTTTTATTTTTGAATAAAATATAAATTTGAAAAAAAAAATCATAAAATTTCAAAAATAAATATGTCAATAATAGTATCAAATTAACTATTTAAAAATTCTTGTTTTTCGTGTAATTTCTTTAATTCTATTTTTTTATTATAACTTAAATTTAGATTTAATAACAGAGTAATTTATTTTTGATTTAATAATATATAATTTTTTAGTAGAAGAATACTCGCGCAATGCAGGATTGCAGGAAGACAAATCTCGATTTTAATGTTATATATTATTATTTGTCTTTGTCGATGTTATAATATGATTTTATGTGTTTTTAAGAAAATAATAATGATTTTATTTTTGAATAAAATATAAATTTGAAAATATCATAAAAATTTGAAAAAAAATATATCAATGTTAATATCAAATCATCTATTTAAAAGTTCTCATTTTTTATTATAATTTAATTCAAGTTTAATAATGAAATAATTTATTTT